CGGTTGTTTTTTTGCTGCCTGCAAAGAAACATAAACACAGCGCTCATTTCTGGCAGGTTTTTACTGTCAGAGTTTCTCCTATTATATTTATCTTACAATTTGCCAGGGGGTGAAGTTATTAAGTTTTAGCAGCAGCCATCGATCAAGTTCACAAGTTAACACGATAAAGGCTCTGTGCCGCTCCGATCCGGGAAAATGATGATCCTCACTCGGTAATTAACTAAATGAGAAAGTTAAATCTTACTTGAGAGCTGGGAGAGATGAAAGAGAGGTGTTTGTCAGTTTCTCAGTGGAAATTAGAAGCAGTTTTCTGCAATTCCCTAAGCTGCTGCTCTGTCATATTTTACATAAGCACTGGGAAAACGTCTTGTAATTAGTGCTGTCATGGAGGATTTTTTTTGCTGAAGGATGTTGGAATAATTCATTAGATTATCAAGAAAGGCTTGTGTCCTGAAATGATTAGCACAGTGAAATTTAAACCATTAACGATAACAAGTTTAGAGCTTGCTGCAGTGCAGAGGCACCCGGGGTATGTCTGTGCCTATTTCAATCATTTCTTATAATTAAACATTATGTCCTCTTTTTTTCCTCCCCTTCACTAAGACCCATCCAAAATTCCTGTTAAGGTGGCTCTGTCTAGATCAGTGACTTCACCATGACTGGCGATGCAAGCAGTTGGAGGTGAAATGCTGCAGTTGCAGATAAGCAGTAGAAGACATCTCTCTGTCAGAGCCTGTGGTCCCAGGGAGTCCAGGAAGGGTGAGAGAAGCCCCGTATGACCTGTCGGTATCGGAACGTTGAAGGGAAGTCCCTTCCTTTTGTCTAGAGAGAAACCGAGAGATTTGCAGTGGTCGTCTAAGCTCTCAGTCTTTTCAGAGCTCCAGCATGAAGATATGTTGAAGGTTCAGAAGATCCCAAACCTTGCTGGGATCGTTTAAGCCATTCTCGATGTTCTGGGAGACAGCTTCTCTTTTTCTTTGACTTTAAGAGATGTCTTCTTACATTAAGAAACATAAAATCTGAATTCATCCACCCTGTGGAAAATGCCTTAACAAAGTCCTTCGTGATTATTAGAGGACATAGTGATTTTTAAAAAAAATATATAAAAGTTGTGACCACTCGTATGGATGGGGAAACACTATACCTATACTAGAATCTGAGAACTGTGCTTGTGTTTGTTTTTTTCTGTGTTTTAGGAGAATCCTTGGACCCCTGTACTGAACAAAACCAAGAGTAACCTTGTTGTTATATATGGGTTACAGCTGTGATATACCTCGGCTGTTTTGTTTTATATGCAGAGCAGTAGATTTATCCAGGCTTTATTTATCTGTGTTGAAATATTGCACCTTCCTATAGTTGCAAGCCATTATTTAGATTAAAATCCTCTCATATATTAGTCCTCTTCTACTTCACTGGGCATACAAATGTGCTTTGTGTTAAATGTAGCCATTTGGAGAAATGGTCTTGTAATTATAGGCTGCAATGGAGCATAGTACGTAGATCCCTGAGCTAGTACCAACCTGAGGCACTCAATCCCCTGGGTCTCCTGGCACAGCTTACTAGCTCAGGCACAGTGTTGTAGGAGGACACCTCTGCTGTTCCTGCAGATGGGTTGCTGTGCCTAGAGTCAGCTGGGGCACCTCTCAGCCCTCACAGGGGTTTGTGAAAAGGGAGTCAGAAAAGCTTTATCCATTCCGAGTTGTTAGTTTGCTCTATTATAGCCAAACTTCTTCCCAGGAGATGGACTACCAGTGCTTATTCTTCTTCGCCACTTTTGGAAGTGAAGCTTATAAAAAGTGTGACCTTATACAGTACATTTGGATGGATATTTACTCTGGCAGTATGGATGGCATGTGGGATAGTTTGTTCTTTTTCAGGTGAGGCATGGTTATTGTGCCAGGAGCGGGAGGAGGTTGTAGACGATTGTGTGCTCCAGGAACTAGTTGCTGATGTTGTTCTGAGATGGTTTGTTGTGAACTTGAGGCGGTTGATCAGAATAGTTGAGTCATCAGGGTTTCTCATAAAGCAAATCGATTCTCTTACTGATAGTAACACCGTCCCTCCTCAATGCTTTAATAATACAGATGCTTGATGTTCTTGTTTTGTTGTTGACTTTTTTTAATAATAGACTTTTTCACTGAACCCCCAGTGGATTTTCAGGAATCTTCAAATTGAAATTCTGAAATCTTGTTCTAAACTGTAGCCACAGGCAGTCTGAGGGAGGCGTATGAGCATGTGTTGCAATTGAGCGGGTTGGGGGCCCTGTGAATTCATCTGCCTCTACTCTGCAGAACTGGTGCATTTATGGCCTGCCCTGTTTATGGCCCCTGCTTTCATAGACAACAGGACCTGCTGGGCACACCATGGCTACCTCTGGGCTTGTCCTCGCTCCTTTTGATGGGAAACCAGAGCAGGCAAGGGTGCAAACCAGGTCTCAAGCTGACATTGTCAGAATGTGACCAAAGTATGTGCATGAACCTAAAAACTATAGTATTCCCCTGTCCACTAATTTGAGCATAAACACTGTAACATGAATAGTGCTTTTCTTAGCAGATCCACTATATAAACCTGGAGTTTGACTCCAGAGCTGTTACAAGTGTTGGTCAATGGACTCTTTAATTTACTCATTATTCCCAGCCAAGAGGCCTGTATTCACTTGGGATCCAGGCAAAATGGGTTGTTTTGTCCCATCTAAACCATCTGTTTGTACACACATAAGCCGTTACTTGTTTTTGCAGATGTTGCAGCTTCTGTTTTATACCCAAACTGATGTTTTAGAGGTAACTGGGGAGCTGAAGGCTGCTGGGAGAAGGGTGCTGAGGAGGCAAGGAAGGGCCAGAACATGGTGGAACCCCATTAAAGGAGTTGCCCCTTTTGTGGTCTTTGCACATCAACTCCAGCTCAGCATATTAGTCAGACTTCAGTCTCTCAAATTAAAAGGCAGAAGTATTTTTTAAATATGCTTTATAGAGACAGCCTGTTGTGAGATTGGCTGCACAGCAAACAAAATGAGAAATGAAATGAGATCAAGCTTGTAGAATACATCTCTAAGCTGTCTTGATCCAGCATTTTTACAGGGATGTCTGTTTTGCAAGGAGCTTAGCTGCAGCAAAAATGACCAGAATCCCTTAAGACCGATGTTCAGTGCAGTCCATTGGTTATTATTTTTTGCCAGGCTGTTGCCTACTGTGGACTTGGCTAGAATAACTCCAGCCCTTCACGCCTAGGACTTCATGTGCACCATCCCTTTAGAGATTTCTTGGTATAAAAAGTTGGCTCAAGAGAGTGCTTCTTTCCTTCTGCCCAATAACTGAGTGTACAACTCACTTGCAGTCAGTGCTGCCCATGTGATGACCAGATGAAATAGGGAAGCTCAGTCATAGCCCTGATCTTGCGTGATCTTTCTAATACACACAGAAATTTGCAGGGAGGAGTGGGGATAAAAGTAAGGTTGAAAACACTGAGCTGCAGAATTGAGCACTGGTGATGCGATCTCCATGTTCTGTGTTCTCAAAGAAACTTAAGTCAAACCATAATTCAGAAATAGAGTAAACTGCTTGTTGAAAATGCCAGCTAATTATTGTCTTTTTCTACCAGAGAAAAGTCAGTCTAGCTCTGCTGGAAGTGCTGAATAGAGTATTAAGGTGGATTTTCTCTAGAAAATGAAAGGTACATGGTGATTAGTTGAGTAGATTTTCAAATTATGAGGTTTTTCATGTTCCAAAGTCAGGATTGCTGTTGGGGTTGAGGGGCTGTTGAAGTACAGGAATTATTTACTCTTGAGAAATGAGAAATTCCTGCATTCCAAACCTAGTTTTGGTAAATAGATTTCGTGGTCTCTAAATAACACACTGTTTTGGCACTTGCTGAAAAAAGACTTTTTGGTTGTCTTTTCCTGTAAAATCAGTTAATCCGTGCATTTCTTTTAGATCATTAGATATCTTTGCAGAGAGATTTAGGTACTTGTTTTTTCCCTTAAAGTTGATAAAGTCTCCTGGTGAGATTAGTGCCTGGAATTATCGTCACACAAGAGAAACATGGCATCCCTGCATCAATGTCTTATATATTCTGATATCTGTAATTTGTTTTTAATTATTTGATAGTTAATAGAGAACCTCTAGATGCATTTTCTAAATAAAAACGATGTGATAATATTGACTGTTATTATAATGCTGTCAGGTGTTAAACCATTGCAATGAAAAAGGGAAAATCACGTTTTCAGTATTTCATACAAACCATTTGACCAGTAAGGGGAAAAAAAAATCCCAGCAAACAGTTAATCTTACTTGGACAAAGGATATCCTTGTAATGCAAAATATGCATTTTTCTTCCAGTTAAATTGTTTAGAAAGCAGAAATCATATCTTGCTATCAAGTAGTAAATTGAAATGTCAGTATTTCGTTTTGTCCCTGAAACTCTTCTTTGAGCTGACTCCTTCTGACAAGATATTAAGTGCTCAGAAAGTTGAAAATCCTTTACTTTGTGAAAGAGTTATGTACCAAATATCAGGGTGTGTTTCAGATGGCTTTGCTCTCAAGGTATAATTTTATACTCAAAAGAAGTACTGGCAATTTTTGTCTCATCCATTTTGTTCATTCCCTATGAATTTTAGCAGCAGTCCATTCTTCAGAAAAAAAAAAACAAAAACAAACAAACAGAATACAAATGCAGTTTTTTGTCGGTGCATTGAAGTAACTGGTAAGTGTAGATGAGGAACCTAAATACATTTTATTGTCTGCATAATGTAAATAAAATTGTATTTGTGTTAAATTGCCACTCCAGGTTTCCTGTCTAACCAGAGTCCTTTGTGTGTGACTCTGGCATGAGCCAGTGCATTGTCCTGCAGGGGTTACAGCTCGCGGTGGCTGCGCTCCGACTGACAGCAGCAAATGGGACACATGGTCTCAGCCAACTTTATGTATCAGAAAGAAAATTATAAAGCCACTTGAGCTTCTTTTCGTATGTGTGATTTGGGTTATTTGTCTCCTTCTTCTTTACAGACGAAACTTGCCAATGGCACTTCCAGCATGATTGTGCCCAAGCAAAGAAAACTATCTGCAAGCTATGAGAAGGAGAAGGAACTCTGCGTCAAGTATTTTGAACAGTGGTCCGAGTCTGACCAGGTGGAGTTTGTGGAGCACCTCATCTCCCAGATGTGTCACTACCAGCACGGGCATATAAACTCATACCTCAAACCCATGTTACAGCGGGACTTCATCACTGCACTGCCAGGTATTTCTGCCGGCATAGGGAGCTCACTCCTCCAGCTTGTTTTTCAGAAAACTATTCCACTCTGACCTGCCCTGCCCTGCTGGAGAGGTCTCTTCTAGGGTCAGTTTGCAAAACAGATGATAGCTTTTGAATTAAAGCTCTATACCAGTATGAAATGTAGTAATATTTCATCTCGTATTCCTACCATCTCCCAAGGCATGATCTAATACCTCCATGATTTGGCTACGAGTAAAGGATAGCTCATATGTACTGTAAGGACAGTCATAGCAAGCCACAGGGCAAGTAGTTGTACTCCTAATGCCCACAACGATGCATGAATAACGAAAATTTTTAAAATTAAAACTACTACTCTTTCTGGTTGCTCAGCGGAGGTTTCCCCTTTTCCTAGATTTTTTTTTTTAATCTCTTTTTCCTAGCAAAATGCCTTCCTGAAACCAATGCTTTGATTATGTGTTTATTGCTAATAGAGAATGGAGGACATAAGATCAAAGGATGGCAATGTTCTATTTTTTGCATCACTATAGTGCTTTTTATTGAGAATATTTTCCCAGCTGTTCTCGTACGTGGCATTGGATATATCTCACAGAATGTGCACATGAAGTAGTGTACGTGCAGTTTTGTATTAGCCCTGTCTTATAGATAGGAAAACTGAGGCAGTGGAAGATAAAACATATACAGCAATAGAGTTTCAGAACCAGTCAAGTTCCTGACTCTTTTGTCTTCTTTTCAGACCGTTAGATCATACCTCTGCGGATAGATAGATAGTTAGTTAATAGATTAGTATTGCCATGGCCTAGGTCCTTAGTTTGAGATGGAGTGTAGCAAGAAGTGCTACAGATGTTGTCTTCAAATAGCTAGTTGAAGAAAGGAGTTTCTTGCCAAAAGCTTGTTCTGTGAATACCTTTGGAGAACTGCTGAACTCTGACAATTTGTTCAATCCAGTCATGATCATTCTTCAGAAGGGCTTTCTCAACATGAAATTTAGCTTCTAGGGTTAAAAGATGGAAAAAGGCATGTTTAACTGTGAATTGTACAAAGCATAAAGGCACTGCAGGAGTGCTATAAAGTTAAATATGTAGACTCACTGGATTTTTAAGCTCATTGTGCCCAGTAATCAAATGGCTGTTGTAGCATTAAAAAAAATCTTAGTTATGCTAAGTACGTGCTTTATGTTGGTTTTTAGTAGTCCAGTGGCAATAATCTCGTGTACTTAGAGCAGCATTGTAACTCATGTTCTGTTTCAGAAAAATAGAGCATTTTGACAGTGCATTGGTTTCCTGCTTTTAAAGTCGGAGTATACATACGCAATTATTCCAGGTTTTTCTCCACAACACTGTGTCAAAGCAAGTCAGCACATCTCATTTGCACTTGCTTAATTGAATCCCACAGGCCTTTTTCTGAAAGTTTTGGGCAAATTTTATAAATATTTTCAGAGGCATTCAAAGTTTCCTAGCCATACCATACTTATTAGTGATCTTTTCCCAGTTACTGAGGGAGCAGCTAATTTTGCTATCTCAGAATGCAGAACAGATAGGAATCAGGCAGCTGATATGTGCATATTTGAATAGTTGTGGGAACTGTGTACTTAAATCATGTATGTGCATCAATTTGCGTATTTGCTAAGTGCTAATGTCCTAGTGAATATAGTTCTAAGGGAGAAAATTAATGGCAAGGAATTACACTGGTGCAGACTCTCCAGTCTGTGCAGGATGTCCAGAGCATAGGCAGGTTTCTAATGAGGGAAGTGGGAAAAGGGAAGGTAAGAAACTGCCTAGGAAATAGTGATGAACCTAAAATTTTAAATTAAGTCACATAAAAAAAAACCAAAACAACAACTTTTCAAGTATTTTTTAGCTTTCTGAAGTTCTCAAATGTTCAGTATTCTGGTTTCATTTTTCCTCCTTCATTCTCTCTCCTGTTCTCCCCCTCGAGTAAATAAAACAATAAAGCTACTTCAAAATCATGAGGCATCTTATCTCTGTCCTCCTAGCACTGTCCCAAAGAATGACCAAGATTAAAGGTAGTTTTAGATTATTTTCCCAGTACTTTGAAGAGAATTAAGGTTGTTTGAAAAATACAGCTTAACTGTGTACTTAACAAACTTTGTTCCCTTTCTGAAAAAGGTCTCTGCTTAGCATTTCCAAGCTGTTTAATATTTTTTATGAGAAGAGTCATATTTATAAGGATTTCATGTGTGAAAAAAATGAAATATTCTTGTTGGTATGGAGGGCCGAAGGGCTAATTGTGTTTCATGTCAATTTAGCAAAAACTTTTGCGACTGGAGATTTCTCTTTTTTAAGGAAGCAATGCTTTGTTAGATATATGCCTCGGTGAATTGTGCTGTTCCTAGGAAACAAAATAATAAAATTGAGTTTGGATCCTGACCAAAATGGCTCTGCCCATCCACTTACCATTAACATGAAGAGAAGAGGCCAAAACATCAGTATTCCTTCTCTGCGAAGTGTCCAGGATCAATGGCAAAGGATGGCTTACGGTCATTGAAGTAGTTACACCACCTTGTTGCAGCAACATGTAAAGTGCAACTGCTGATAGTCCAGAAAGGGCAGGTGGGTCAGAGGCAGACTTGTGGGTGAAGATTGCTGTGCCCAGTTTATGCAGTGTAGCCCTGCTTCCTAAAGCCACTGATGGTTCTCCATATAAAATAATTTCTTGCTGTGATTCTGCTGACACAAGGCTGCCAAGATGGATACTACACAGGCAGGCATTTGTAAATGCCCTGGTGGGTCTGCAAATGTCTGTGGGCCCACTGGAAGCAACATGGACTGGGAAATGCCATTTCCACCCAGTGGGGAGAGCACAGGGCTGCAGGTGTCAGTGGGGAAGCAGGGGGACGCGATGTCTACGTCTGCTCTACCAAATTGCAGGATTCCTGCAAATTCGAGTTCACGTTCACTAAAACATTGTATCTCTTTTTCCATGAATTGCTATAGAATCAATCCAAATTCACAAACACTCTTTTTTTTCTTTTTTTTTAAATAATTTTGTATAGTGGCTATATATATCTTTTCAGATTAAATACATAATAAAGGCTGCTGATGCTTTTATTTTGCAGGTTGACATCTAATTTTGCATCTATAAAGATAAGAAATGTCAGACCTCTTTCTGCACTCTCTGGTTGTGCATGGTATCATTCACCTGCTTTTTCTACATACGAATGGAGGCATAAAACACTGGGCAAAATGTCTCACCTAAAGTGTATTATAAATTTAGGATGTTTGAAAGGAGCAAGAGGAGGCATGCTGAATTTTCTCATTTTCATGCATTGGGAGATAATTTTGAGATCTTTTGGTATACTAAAACAAAGGTTGGGCCTTTTGTGTCTCCTAACTCTGATAAGAATCAGCTGATTGCACCCAGTTTGGGTTTGCAGAAGTACAGACATGTGACTGTAAAGACACACTTGCTGCTTTTTCTTTCCCTGTCACAAGCAGTGTCTAGTCTTTGAGGCTGTTGTTTTAAAAGCAAGAAAAGACGTATTTAACTCTGTCCCAAACATGAACCAGAGGGAAGATGCATGTAATACCAATCTGCCATGCTTCCTTTTTGGTCAGTCCGAACATTATGCCTGAAGGATGAAGGGTTCTAAACTACAACTTTCACAAAGCCTCTGAAATTTGACCTGTGAAGTGAGATAATCTCTTGATGGTGTGTCTCACTTGTGAATTAAACAGCCTCCAAGAGAAGCTGTGTTTATGCAGCATCTCATTTAAAAGGCATCTTATTTTCCTGAAGTCTTGCTGGTGATTAAATTCGAGTGGGTAAGGGCACATTTTTACTGAATACATCCATTCAGTTAAGAAACATAGCATAACCTTCCCTGGCCCCCAGCTACACAGACGTTACATCGAGCTGCTTGGTGCTAACCAGGCAATTGCTTTACATTTCGCTCCAGCCATGTTGAAACAAAGCCAGTCCTGGTATTTGCTCTGGAAAATATTTGCAAATTATACCATTTTGGTGCGTATTTTTCCTCCACCCACTAAAATAAATGAAACTAGCAAACCTGCTTCACTTTCTCCTTACACAGCCTCTCCTTCCCTCTCGACTTCCCTGTGCATCTGCATATCTTTCCCTCCCCCATGTCTAAAGGTACCACTACCCTTCAGGGCACACATTGGGAATATATATTTTTTTCTTCATTACGTTTAAAAGCTACTGCTTTAGCAAAAACAGCTTTTGAGCCGTTGGAACATGAGAACAGCTGTAGCAGTGAGATGAGAAATGGTCCTAATATAGAGAGATTTTGGGGGCTGCGTCGCAGAGTTGGAAATGCCATCCATAGAATATCCCCCTAGTGCTAAAACCCATCGAAATAGATTGGAATGACTTCTTGGATTCTTTATTATTTTTAATGACTTGTTGTGTTATATCCAAAGGAAGTTGGTGAACACTGTTCACTCCTGAACTTAGCCACAAATGCTCTTCCGTGCATTTGTTCCAGCTCTGCATGCAGAAGAGGAGATGGAAGGAGAGGTTATCTTTGTACTAGCAAGAGGAGTTGTTTTAAACTCCATGTCTTTTTCTTTTTTTTTTTTTTTCCCCTCCCCCAGCTCGGGGATTGGATCACATTGCTGAGAACATTCTGTCATACCTGGATGCCAAATCGTTGTGTGCTGCTGAGCTGGTGTGCAAGGAGTGGTACCGGGTGACGTCGGATGGCATGCTGTGGAAGAAGCTCATCGAGAGAATGGTCAGGACAGACTCCCTGTGGAGGGGGTTGTCAGAGAGGAGAGGATGGTGAGGAAACTGCAACTTCACCTCTTTTGCCCCCATTCAGGACAGTAGGTGCTGTGTGTTTCAAACCATGTTTGAAGAGGGTTATTTAGCACCCTGAAACCTGTTGGTTCCAAACCTGACAGCTGCTTAAATCCAAATTCGGGGACTGGGGAGTTAGGACATCATTTGGCTGTGTCGGCAATGTGGGGGCTTTTTCCTCACCTTCCTCATCTGATCATGCTCTTATCCCACTGTGACAAGTGAGATATACAGACTGAGATTTTTACACCCAGCTGTCATTCGGTTCAAATTAAGAAGCTGTGTATGCCCCAGGGGAACACTAAACTAGTCAGCAGTTCAGAGCAGAAGAGCTTTTTTAGGGGTGGCAGTGGGGCAACATGTGCTATGAATTAGTTCTTTCCTGATAGGTCTGTTTGTTTTCCTCAGCAGATTTTCACTATTAGATATCTGTTTAATTTTCAAACTGGAAGCTGAGGGTAGGTACCGCGGAGAATAGGGGACTTTAGAAATGCAGATAGATTAGTTAATAATCATCTGGAATAGCCTTACTACAGTGTGTGTCTCACTCAAGTTTGAAGCTGCTCTGTTAACATTTCATTAGAACTTTCCCTCTCAGGGGTACGTTCTTTAATACATAATTTTCTTTTCCAAGGGTGTCCCTAGGATGTTGGCAGAAAGGAAGCTGGGTATGAATATTTCATAAACAAGATAAAAGTGACAGCTCAGGCATTTTGGTTGCTATTAAAAAGAAAAAGATACAGAGTTGCAAACAAAGACTCCTGTTTTATGGTTAATTTTGTTATACTGTTTGTATCAGGAAGTAAAGGTGAGTAAATCAGGATTATGAAACATCCTTTAAAAATAAATACTATTTTGATCTGCTTCCAATAGTGTAATGTTTATAAATAGTGTAAAATAAACACAAGCATGGCAGTGGTAACTTCTGCCTTCCTTTTAGTGCCTTGTTTTCTCCAGGACTTCCATTTTGCCCTGTTGAGGTCACATTAAGTCCGAAGAGGACCGCGAGAGGTTTTTTAGTCCCTCCTGTTTCCCAAAGGCAGAGCTAGGTTTCTCTTAAGTCATCCCAAATGTTTGTCTAACTTGTTCTTAAAAACATTCACTGATGGAGATTCCTCAAGGAATTTCACTATTTCACTAACTTGAGTGTTATAGAAAGATTTTCCTGAAATCTAGACTGTCTTCCTAACTACAGTTCGGCATGTTATATTTAGCCTACACAGACACACAGGACAGTTTCTCATTCTCATTTTTGCAGTCATCTTTTCCATGTTGGAAGATTATCATGTTTCCTACATTTTGGATGCACTAACAAACCATAATCTTGTCCTTTTGTAATTCTTGGTTTTCTCTGTTTAGACCCTCCCCAATTACTCTACTCTGTTCTTGGAAGATGGTGTAATCAGCTGGGTGTCTTATTTCTGCCGAGGCATCGCCAGAGTTTGGTGGTGTGTGAAGCATTGCTTTACATGCCGTATGGAGGACACTGCTTTATGCTTTCCAGTATAACGTGTTTTTTTTTTTTAACAGTGTTATAATACTGTTATAAAATTAATTACCCTTTCTGTGGAAGTTCTACTTAGCCGTTATTCCTCATCTTGCATGCTTATGTTGTTACTCAGTGGTGAACTTGGCACTCGTCCTTGTTGAATTAGGTTCTATTTATTGTTTGGTATTTCTCCATTTTGTCAGGAGCATTTTAAGTTTAATCTTGTCTTCCGAAGTGCTTGTATCTTCTCCAGCTTTCGTATCATTGGCCAGGTAATAAATGCACCCCCTGTTCCATTTTTTGTCATTAATGAAAATGCTCAATAATGACATGTCTGGGCCAGGCTCTATGCAAGATCCCAGTTGCCATCCTGTTTGACAGTGAACCATTGGTAGACTGTGCTTTCCAGCCATTTGTATGTCCACCCTTGAGATCTTCCAAGACCATACTTGTCTTGCTAAGTCATGAGAATAGCCTGTGAGACGAAATTAGGTCAGTTTGACACAGTGTATTCTGGATTGTTCAGTGTAGCCTGCTGTTTGTCACCTCGTCATCTTCTAGACACTCATCGGATTGACTGCGTGCTCTAGAACTGCTAAGCTGTCAAAGTTGAGTTGGACCATCCACCGTTTCCTTGGTGGACCTTCTTTCCTTTTTTTAAAATGCAAGAGCTACATTTGTCTTTTTCCTGTTCTGTGGAACTTTACCTATTCTCTGCGTCTTGTCAGGATCATAGCTAATAGTTCTCAGTTTGCTTCCTCCAGATTTTAGAAATAACACTAGCCCCGATTACTGGTCATACAGGCACATGACATTTCTAAAAACAGTTGGAAAATTCTGCATCTCATCTCAAAGCACAGTCACACCCTGTTACTGCACCTCTTCTTCAGATTTGCACTGGGTCCTGGAGGCTGCTTTGACACAATAGGAGCAAGTTGTGCCCTGGCTTTCAGATTGCCCTCTGATTAGCTCTAGAAGACACAACTGCAGACATGGTGGGGTGGTTAAGAGAGGCAAACAAGAAATATCCAGTGTAATTGCATCTCTGCCATATAGAGCTTTATAGCTTGTAATCAATGCTAACGCTGTGCATGGCACAAGGAGGTGACTAACTGGACGGTTCAGAATGACAGATGACTGTACTGTTCGTCACTTTGCACATGGTCTGCCTGATTTCAGCGTTTGCAGCTCATGGTTTACAACAGAAACACCCAGTTCTGCAGCATGGTAGCCTTCCCTGACAGCTTGCCAGGGAGCAGTAAGGGTTACACAGATTTAGAGAAATGTAAACCAGAAGCCCGAAATCTGGGCACGATTGTGTCCATCTGAATACTTGATTGAATTGGCCAGTTATCAAAAACTGCAAACAATAGTTCCTTTATCCCAGAGCCACAGTAAACAGCCACTGGGATGCCGTGGAAATTCCAAGCAATCCTTTAGCTGAACTGTAAACAACTGACTCTACATGCAGCAAGACAGGGCTTATAGATAGCAACAAGACCTTGTACTAGATCAGACAGTAAAGTTGGAAACAAATAGACAGGTTTTCAGGCACATAGGCTTGTATACAGATTGTCATAGACTACCCCAAGTCTTCTAGGATGTGTCCTAGTTATTCTGTGTATCTCCAAAGCATTTTTCATCTCCCTGAGCCAATAGTTTTAATTTTCTTGTAAGCATTTCCAGACTGGATCAGAGTAAATAAGCAACTATCTAGTTAGTGGTTTGCCTGCATCCATGCGCCCCTTCTTCACGTGTATTTGTCCCTGTATGAGTCACTGTATGTGAAGACTTAGATGATTGCTCTGTCGAAAGCGGAAAGCACCTTTCTCTCAAGTCATACTTAAAGTACTTTGTTTAAGGAATTATCAAAAGTTCTTTTCTGGAGCATTTGTTAGTCTGTGTGTTCAGTCCTACAGTTTGCTACTGCCTTATAACCTAAAAATTTCAGTTCATTGTTGTGATTTCCCTAGTTCAATACATCATGGAAGCTAATGTACAGTCTCTCAAATTAGTTCCAAGGTATACTGTATGGAAAGGACAAGAAAGAAATGCACAAGGAAGTATTGAACAATTAATTATGCCATAATGGAGCAAGGGAGGGAGAAGTGGAGAGCTGGCCCAGTGTAAACTCTGTGCCTCTGATGCCAGGATTACACTCGGAGGCATTTGTGCCTCTCTCCATTTTGTGAGGCACGTTGCCAGGCAGAACAGCAGTTAGTACGCCCATGGTGGGGTTTACTAGCTTCCACACCGTGTTTGGTGGCTTCTTAACTTCAGGATGAGGAATTAAAGTTTTTTACACAGCAGGTAGTGATTGCCGTTTATGGATTTTTTTTGTAGCAAAAATCTAGCTTGGGATATGAGTATTCCAAATCAGTGTTGAAATGAGGAAGGCACCACAGATGAAGTGTTGCTTACCAAAATATAGTAGTAGCAGTAAAATGTCCATGTACCAAAACTGATACTGTTCCTGCTAATGCAGATAAAAGCTAGCTTTGAATGCATAGGGAGTTTGAGGGTTCCTTGGCTTCCTTCGTTTTCTTTGCACACTTTATTTTAAAGGTGACCCCTGATATGGGTATGTGTATTGTGGGCATGAGCCGTTCTTGCCTCCTGTTGAGTTGAATGGACTCATGTCCATAATAGATAATATGCTTCCCTTCCCTGAGTGACTAGGCACAGATTTTTCATGAGTATTTCAGTGTCAAAATGCAACACTGACATGTTGCAGGGCAAACCAACAAAGAACCACCCCATCTTACTGAGCAAATTAAGTTTGAATATGAATCTGTCTGTGCTTTTCAGCAGTGGTTACCCATTTGTAAATGCTAGGAGGACCTTTCTCCAAAATGCTGAAACATGATTTGTGTTCAATGGGAGTGTTCTTTGTCTTCCAGGGGACAATATCTATTTAAAAATAAACCTCCTGATGGGACTGCACCACCCAACTCCTTCTACAGAGCACTTTACCCCAAAATTATACAGGACATAGAGGTAAGAAACAGCTTCCAGGTGTGGTGGTGTTTGGTTGTTGTTCTTTTAAATCTCCCTGATTTATTCATGATGCTGAAATTCTGAGAATATTTTGTTCCAATGAAATATTTCATTAAATAAGGTCTCAGACTTCACTTCTCCTTTAGGCAGAGGGTGAGTTGGATTGGTCAGTGAGCTGTTTGTAGATGGAGTCTCTCCACCTTGCACGTCAGATGTCACAGCAGCACTGTACCCTCTTGATTTTCTCTGTTCCACAGTACTTTGCTCCACCCAGTGCAGATGAGACCTACTAAGATGTTACAGGGAGATATCAGGAACTGAGCCAGGGAGAAAGTGCATTGCCGAAGGCAGCAATCCTAAGACCCAAGGACACAGGAAGCAACTTAGCATGGCTGCCTTATATCTAGCATGTATCTATCATGCCATGTTTTGGTAGTTTCCTAATGGCAAAAGCAGTGCTCAGGCACTGTTGTGACAAGTTTGTACAAGCACTTAACTACAGCTCAACTGAGACTTTCTCTTCAGTTGTTTAGTCTTTGAGTCACAGGAGGTTAAAGGTTGGAGACAGAAAAAAGCTTTTAGGTCACTTCTCCCTCATCATTCCAGATAACGCAGACAAGTTTGGCCATGATTCGTTTTCCAGGCTCTCGTCTGTTTAATTGGTTTTATTACGTGTGTTACTTCTTCTAGAAAGCAGTTATGTCATTGTATGGGCCTGATTGCAGGAAAAAGCGTTAAGAAAAGTGTCTGCTGTCTTCTCAAACAAATTAAAAAAGGGGAGATAGTTCTGTGCTTTATTTTTACTTCTCTTTTGTCTCCTATCTCTCCTTCCTCAAGACAATAGAGTCAAACTGGCGGTGTGGAAGGCACAGTTTACAGAGGATCCACTGCCGAAGTGAGACAAGCAAAGGAGTTTATTGTTTACAATATGATGATCAGAAGATAGTAAGTGGCCTACGAGACAATACTATTAAGGTGAGGATGCTCCAAAATGGCGTACTAACGGCATGCAGTGTCTGTGCCATAAATAATAGTGTCCTAATTTCAGTGACACCTACTCAATCTCTTGTTAGTAACCTAGCCTTCTCCTTCCCCACCCTCACACCCGCACAGCATGTATGCCTCTTTTATCTGGCAAGAGAGGCCCTGTTTTCTTACAGACAGACTTTGCTAGTGAAGTTTTTGTCCATCAGTAATTACAGACTATGTAATTACTGTGCCCTGTATCGTGATGAGAAAGGTAAATCCAATGTTCATAGTAAAGCCTGTAATATCAAAGATGCTAATGTGTTGCACCAAAGAGCCTCTAAAAGACTCTACAGATGCCACTAAAGACATTCTAACTGCACTATGGATAATGTGTTGCAGTAAAAAACAGACCAGTCAAACCAGTAAGTGCTAAAAGATGAAAACCTTACTGAGCTGTCTGGTTTTGACTGTTTGCTGTCTTAGATCTGGGATAAGAATACATTGGAATGCAAGCGAATTCTCACCGGACACACGGGTTCTGTCCTGTGCCTCCAGTACGACGAACGGGTGATCATTACTGGATCTTCAGACTCAACAGTCAGGTGTGTGCTCCTGATTTGGAGCTTGCCTTGCAAGCTGCTGAAATGATCTTTTCTTAAATGTGTGCTGTTCATTCGGTTCCATGAAGGAGTTCAGCGTATTTGTTCAGGAGTGTACTGTCCTTGTTTATCAGATGTCTATGCAAATGGCTGTCAAGGAGAAATGAGAACCTCAGCAAAGGCCAGTCAAGGTCAAGATGAATTAGGAAAGCCATCTGACATTTCACCAAGGTTTTGCATGTTTTGACACTGCCTGAGAATGTTTTACATTCTCTCTGAGAATAACTCTTTAAAAGTTGGTTGAAGTTTTCAAAGCAAACTTGAAGGTTTAGTCATCCATTGTCGATTTTTACAAATGATGTATGACTAGATCTCCCGTGACTTTTAATTAAATTTTGGCATGATATTTCTTTTCATTCAATCTTTCTAACCTTGCTTTCCTTCCAGTCTCCAGCAAAAGGCTGGACACCTCAAGTCAGCACTTGTGCTGCATGTTGTGCAGATGTGAAGTCCACTAGATGTATAACAGGATCCCAGAGAGTCTAAGACCTGCCATGTAAATACAGGCACATATGAGTTAGTGAATTGCAATATGAACTTGGATGTGAAGGAGCAAATCCGTCTTCTCCATGTTGTTATAGATTCTCTTCTTGTCAGAGTACAAACAATTCCCATGCAGTGAAGTTACTGACAACAAAAAGCTGTGTCAGTGGCCTTTTCTGAAGCTAATAGCATGTGTTCCTATGGCTGCAAGCTCTTCATGGTTATCACCGTGCTTGCATGTAAACTACCACTGTTAAGCTAATAACCATTAAATTTAGTTCCTGACATGTCATGTATGCGGACTTGCGCATGCTAAATTTTTGGGGTCTTATCATTAGTAGGAATCCAGAATTACGGCAACACTGCCTGTCTGGGGTTGGTGTGGGAACTGCACTGTGCTAAACAGATAGCAAAAGGAGAAGGTGATTTTTGTAACAAGCACTATCATCTTCCATATCAGGCCAGGCAGGCCAAATTGCAGACTGGCTACTTGCCCAGAAGTACTTTGTTTCCCACTGTATCTGTAAATGTTTGTACAGACCCCAGAGGCACATAGGATGCATCACTTTTATCCTTGGGTCTCCTCAGGAAGAGGGGCTTCATCCAATAGACAGTACAGATGGGCTCTTAATGCTTCTGAGATCTCAGGGATGCACTTGTCCAAAGAAGTCAGTAGGTCTCCAGCTCCTGTTCAGTTTGGCAGCCCTGTCCGCAAACTGCTCATATGTTGATGGCTCAGGTCTTTAGTCTGTGAGGTTTTCTCCTTTGCATTTTGTAATTGGAATGTAGTTTTCTTTCTCATTTATAGTCCGTAAGGTGATGCACTTCAGCCTCCATAAGTTAGAAAATAAGACATTAGAAGTCTTTCTCACATCTTGCCTTTTCGAATTGCTCGCCTTATTGGCAGAGGAAAGTTTTAACTTCGGCAATGCCTGATGTGCCTGATGATGCAGCCATTTTCTGCTCTCACATAGCGTATCTGGGATACAGGTGTGATAGTGCCAAATGGAATCTCTTTATGGAGGGTAAAAGAAGTTTGCCAACAGAACAGCCAAAAAAAAACTTTTTTAAGGCTTAAAATCTTCATTTCAAGTCCAAGAAGTTCTGTATGAAGTCTTTATCTAACTTTCATCTTAAATTTTCTTTCAGCTGAAACAGTTGGTTCCAATAACATTAAATTGACATAAATGCTCTGTCTTGATTTGGGTACTCAGCATATTCCTGGAATGTAGCTGTGTACCAGGCGCGCTGCAGGGTAAATGCAATGCGTGGTGCAACTTGTGGCAAATACTTATATTTGTTTGAAAAGCATTATCTTGTCTTCTGCTTCTGTATAAATTATCCTTTGAATTGATACTCCTGGGAGAGAGGTCAAAAATTAAACCTGTCACCGAACTTGCTTCTCCACAGGTCATGATTAAGTACTCATTGTCTGGAAATGGAGTGTTTGGTAGGCTGACACAACCAGGAAACATAAGTCTTTAAGGCTATCATCTCTCACCTTTCCTCAACACTAAATTCCCTTAATTAAAGAACGCTTTTTTCCTGACTGGGTTATTTTTACAGTGTTAACTGCATTGCAGTGTTTTTGGCTGCTGGACTGTCTCAATGTATGCATAATCAACAAGTTTATATAATGCACCTTTTGATGAACTATTTAATAGATGTAGATATAACTTGTGGTGTTTGCTTCTCCACTGTACAGTTTTTTAACCCTCTTCTCTCTGGTTTGAAACTGCAGGGTGTGGGACGTGAATGCAGGCGAGATGCTGAATACACTGATTCACCACTGCGAAGCAGTACTGCACCTCCGCTTCAATAACGGCATGATGGTGACATGTTCCAAAGACCGTTCCATTGCTGTGTGGGACATGGCTTCACCAACAGACATCACCCTGAGGAGGGTGCTAGTAGGGCACCGAGCTGCCGTCAACGTAGTGGACTTTGATGACAAGTACATTGTATCGGCGTCAGGTGACAGAACTATAAAGGTGAGGTGTTTCAGGAGGTTTTTATTTGCAGCACTGGAGTATTTAGTAACTAAGAACAGTGACGAGACAGGGAAGATGATCCATGGCAGTTATTAGACAGATCTTTCTTTAGAAGCAGTGTTCTTCCTACTGCTCATATCCACTTGTCCCTCCTCTGTTGAGCTGGCACAACCTGTTTACAGAACTGTATGGCAAATCAGGTCCAGGTACAGATGCAGTTGAAAAAGGACTTTTTTTTCTGTGTTCTTTTTCAATTTGACCGCTTCCGTAATCTGTTTCAGCGTCAGTCATTCAGACAGTTGTCAGCAGCAGTTGTCAGGGCAGCATGGGGGCAAAAGCAAAGGTGAGTGGATAGGAGTCACCTAAGCATTACTGCTATGATCTCAATCTGCAGCATTAAAACTGAGGAAAATCAAGATCCTGTGTAGACTGTATCATAGCCCGAGACTGCTAAAGCCTGGGTTTGGAAGCTAATTCTCATACGGTGTGGCAAAAGTCTTCTGTGTGCAGTGACCCAGGCTGCTAACAGCTATAGTCACAAGTCATCGGAGGGGTAATTTTCCTATGTTTAATGATAGCATCTTCAATTAAGAGCATTCTGGATGCACCTATATATCATACAAATATCAGCTTTTGTTGGCCTCTTCTTAATAATTTTGTCTCTGTGGTTCCCTCCCCCCTTCCTGTCACAGGTATGGAACACTAGTACCTGCGAATTTGTGCGCACCTTAAATGGCCACAAACGAGGCATTGCATGTCTGCAGTACAGAGACAGGCTAGTAGTGAGCGGCTCTTCAGATAATACTATCAGGTGAGAGACACACTTCCCATTGCAGAGTTCTGTGCCAGCACATTGTCTCTGATTCCCTGGGATGTGCAGAGGTTAGGCAACTGAAGTGCTCCGTACCCTTGTCCTCTTTGAAATATGCTTTCCTTGGTATAGAACATTGGGAACTACTGGAAAGAGATATTAGAAGCCTGTTGTGCTGTGTTGTCTTTCATCCTCTAGATCTCAAGAGTCCCATACTAATGCAACAAGTTGCATTACTCTGACAGTTCTAGTGTATGAAGGAGCTGGCAAGTACTGCTTTCTGTGATGTCCTCTTGTGATATTTTAATTGGGCAATGTGTCTAGTTAAAGGGGTCAGATTTGCACTAAGAGGCATTTAATCCTCTGCAGAAATCCTCCTGGGCTCTTGCCAAACTCTTCTTGTGGTACTTGGCACCTGGTTAAGTTTGGAACAGCTGGTTTAGAGGACGAAGTTCAGTTTGCTGCCTTTTGCACTTCTCCAGCTGCCCTGGTTGCAATCTGAGATTTAACTCCTTCTGTATCATGAGCCAGGATTTCTCCTTACATCCTGCAGCTGCTGGCAGAGAGATGTCCCACTAATCTTGGGGTGTACGTAGCAAGCTTGAATAGTAGTGTACGTGACATAGGGAAATGGGTCTGTTGTGCAAATAGGAGTAAGAGCAACCTCTCTTTTGTCTTTATCATTGCCTTAAATAATTGTCTGCCTTCTGATGAAACTTAAAATCTGAACAGTGTAAGCGGAAACCCTTCACTTTGCATGTCAGTAATAATTTCTCCTCAGTGAGAATGATTCATGCTACTGTTTGCTTGTGGACTTTGCTTGCAACATGCTGCCTCTCCCTGCTTTGTGTTCTGTAGGAAAATGGTGGTCCTTTGGTTGACATCACCAGGTCATTGTGCCAGATTTTAGTATAGGGCTGTCTGAGAGCGTGACCAAGAGAGCTGGAACTTCTGTCTCTTAATCAGATGAAAAAGCGTTACAGGTATTGTGTAGGAGTAGCACCACTTATACATGGTGAGAATTCCTGCACTTCAAATACAAAAAAATAACCCTCTGCCATTGTTCGATGAAGCTTGGTCTCAGAATTAGGTTAAGAAATAGTTCAATATTACTCCAGTTGGGGAAGGATCTAAAATATGACTTGCAATATTAATAAAAATAAATGCCAAGATAGTGATAATGCTAAAGAGGAATGCGGTTACTTTTATGCTTACATTGGACAAAATCCCTAGTTGACAGATAAATTGTTCTAGAATTTCAGGAATGTTGGCAGTGAATCGTAATGGAAGTCAAGTTTGGCAAGTGTGTGGGAAAGGTAAAAGACTTACCTGGTCACATTGTTTTCTCCCAGCCACTAGCAGGGGCACAAGTCAGTGGAAGGGTAATTAAGAAAGGACAGGTTACTAAGTAATTTTTGTGGGTGGCTTGATGTTTTGAATGTTTGATTTTAATCTGCTGTAAAATGCCATATGTTGTGTGTTGGCCTTTAGTAGGGGCTGCCTCCTGATACAGAATTTGAAGTTTATTGTTCCTCAGTAGCAGGGGAACTTTTTTCCAAAAGATGACTCTGTGATTTCTAGTTTTGCAACTGCAAACGTAAGGACATGTGAAGTAGCTGAGAAGTCAATAATCTTCCTTCTGTAGAGAGACTCCGTGTATAGAAATTATTTAGGTTTTGGTTTAGGCCAGAAATTTCACTAATGTAAGAGGGCACAGCTGCATAGGCATAGCTGTCATTGTGCCCATTTCCATGCGATAGAAACTGGTCCATCAAGTTTAATCCAATCACTTTAATATCTTAGCCTCCAGGGCTAAAGTTCTTGATTGCTACAGACAAGCAAGGTATAGAAAAAAAAAAAAGAAAAACAAAAAAGATAATTTAGAGCAAGAAAATAGAATCAGACTACATTATCTTGGGTTAATACTTAAACAAGTGGTTGATTTGCATGTGCATGTTCAACCTCCAGTGTTGATGGGGATCTGATACTGGACTGTTTAGACAACAGCATTTGCTCTAGGAGATGGAGATTTGAAGTCACTTGCCTTCTGTGTATCTTCCATCTCTGCCAGGACTTCAAGTAAATTAAAGACTGAGATAATTGCAGACCTCCCTCTACTTCCAGAAGTTCTCTCAAAGCTGTAGAAAGGAAGAGTGGTAGTGTTTTTAACTGTGAATGCTTTGTAGTAAGTTTCTTTAGTGAGTTTTTAAGCCTTTAGAGTAGTTCTCTTACTCTTTGGTCCTTTGACTATTTAAAGAAGTAGAAATTTGATAAGGTTATCAAATCTGGGAGGTACCCGTAGCACCAGTTCTGCAAGGAGATTCTGCTCTTACATGGCAGTTATCCCTTTTGTACATGAAGGCCCATTCCCTACATGGGTAGGGGTATGATCATCTCTTCTAATCAGATTCAGCTAAAACCTTAAACTGGGACCTGAAAACACAGGCCTGAATTAGTGTGGTACAGCCTCCCAGAGCTGCTGGCAATCTCTGGACTGATGGCAAGGAATGGAAACACATGGCATGAAAGTTCCTGGCACAAGATTGCTCTTCAAACCTTTCTGCGCCAGTTCATTTCTGGCATTGTCCATCCTGTTACAGTCCTTGAGAGACTTAATGCTCTCTGACCAGCCAGAGTGCCTTTGGCTGACCTTTGCCATGGAGTTACTTGCTCTGACCTTGACTGTTACACTGATTCTCCTGTGAAGACTATTGGGATCTTCACAGATTCCTGAAAGATCAACTTCACGGAGCAAAGAATCACCTTGTGCTCCTCATTGGCCTCAGACGTGTGCATAGACAAATCCTTTCCCAGTCCTACAGTGAAGAAAGTTCTGCTCATTTCTCTGTTGTCCAAAGTGAGAGCAGCTTGTTGTGGCAGGATGTCTGCAATCATTATCCGCCTACCTTGGGCACACATCCACTGGATCCTTGGGCACACGTCCACACTCCTGGGGGACCTCAGGAGTAAAATATGTGGGAACAGTTTATCTCTTTCTTTTTGTATGTCTCAAGGAAAAGTGACCTGACCCCTCAGCAGCTGTGCTGCTTTGAGATGTGTCACCCAGAGGAATTCCATGAATCATTGGTATTTCTCACTACTGTGAAGTTCGTGTCAGTCTGAACTCTTACTGAATGAGTAGTTAAAAACATTTGCAACTGCTTTCTTTCAACTGTGCATCAGGGAACCACAGCAGATTCCTGTGTAAGCAGAGCATGTTTCTGCCAGAGGTGGAACGCCTCTAGACAATGCGTGTCAGAGAGTTTCAGTTCTTGTAGGCAAACAGTATTTTTATGCGTGGTAATTTGGAGTCATGTAGAAGAGCTGAAAAAAGCATGGAGAGCAAATAGACTTACTTCATAACTGTCAAGTGTTTCTGAAATTTTTTTCAAGATACTGTGTAATTGTAAAACTTAATGTATTTTAATTTATTCTCCATGCTAAAAATCCTTCACAAAGGCCAGAACTCTTGAATATTTACAGTTGAGAGAATAACACATTGCTGGGTCTCTTACGGGGATATTGTGTCCTGGTTTGGGTGCCAGAACTCCTTTAAAATATTGAATTACTAGAAACAGTTAGCAGAGAGCCACAGAAATTATTTGAGAGCAAGGAGAAAATGCATTACCAAATAATAAACATAGAATCCCCATTTTAGCTTATGCATAAGATGTCTAGATTACAGAGGAAATGTACCTTCAGTGGGAGAAATGACAAGTAGAAAGGGATGATTAATTCTTACACCTTTCACCACTGTTGGTGTCTTCATTTGTCTGATGGTAGTCTTCAAATCAGAAACGGGCATGTAGGGGTACAGAAAGGGGCATGTGCCCTGTGAAGGTCATCTTACCCATTGGAGTAAGCTGCCAAGTGAATTGGTAAGTCTCCTCTTACCATCTTAAAATCACGGCAGGATACTTTTATGAAAAATCAGCCTCAGTTAAAGAAAGTTACGAGGCTCATGCAACTGGGACATATCCTGTGTTACTAGAACAGTAGATACCAGACACAACTGGTCTCAAAATTTTTGAGTCACTGACTCATTTTCTGTGTGGTACTGTAACCTAACAGGGTCGTGATGAAAAGTGTGCATCCACTTGACAGTAGGAAAGGAGTGATATGTGTAGTTTGTTTCTTCTTTGTTATCTCATCAATCATAATCTTTATTTCCAAGTTTCCATTAATTACAAGCAAAGACTGAATGTTTCATTGCAATGACCAGATATTCAGAAATTCTTTTTGCTGCTTTGTACTCTCTTCTAGGCTGTGGGATATCGAGTGTGGGGCATGTTTACGAGTACTGGAAGGACATGAAGAGTTGGTGAGATGCATACGCTTTGATAACAAGAGGATAGTCAGCGGGGCATATGATGGGTGAGACTGTCAGTGCAGTCAATACCTTGCATCTTCCTGTCTGTCTTAGTGTCTCACATCCCACTTTGCTTTATCTTCCTTATAAATATTAGACTCCTTATCTGTCATACCAAGAGGACCTTTTCATCACCAGTAAATCAGGATCATGCAACAAAGTATACCTTTTTTTCTTTTTTTTGAAATAAGTCAGTGTGATTTGATGTGTGTGGTCCAGTTCTTTAGCTTGTAAGAATATCTGACTGACTCAACCTGAAACCTATTCTAGCTGAACCACTGGAAAGAACAATCTTTCCCATCCATGGTTATGTCTTCTGGACCATTTGCCATTACAGACTAGGTCTCTGCACTTCCACGTGTTTCTGTTAGTTATTGCTACCTGCTTTTTATGCATTTTACTTTGTTGACAGCATATTTTTTCTCCTATGAAGTTCTGTAAGCTTTACAAAGAGGAAATGCAAGAACCAGATCTCAAGAGCAGAAGGATTGCTGTAATTTTCCTTGAAGTGATGTATTAGCTAAGATGTATCAACAGTTATTTTTTTTCTATGAGCACTTGCTCTTTTCTCTTTAACAAAGCCGTGATATTTTTCTATTTTTTCACTACCAGGAAAATTAAAGTATGGGATCTTGTGGCTGCTTTGGACCCCCGTGCTCCAGCTGGGACCCTCTGCTTGCGAACCCTTGTGGTAAGAGCTTTTGGTAGGAGTGGTGGAGAGGGTAGAAAAGTGTGCTTGATCAGGGCTCTTAAGCCATGAAAACTCAAGTCAGCTTAGCTCAGTCTGCAGGACCTAGAAATCATTTCTAGGGATCTGGCTTCTTTGGGTGTTCAGTTGTTTTTTTTAATCTTGCAAGCTATAAAGCATTAAAAATTAGAACTTGTAGAGATTTCATTCACTTTTTAACACTTCTGTTCTGTGATTTGAAGTTAACAACTAAATCTGTATTTGAGACTTTTCCTTCCTGGAATCCATGTGTGCCAGTGGGTTTACTTCAACCAGTGTGTACCTAATGATGCAGTAGTACATTTTTTGAGTAGTTGACATGGAGTTTCTTACGGAAGAGTAGTACATTCCAAATTTGAGCAACAAGAACCAAAACAACCTTGGGATTGCTTTTAACTGGCTTTTGGGTGTTTAAGGAAAGAGAGACTAAGGACCAGAACAGCCAGTGAAATTGACTCAAACAACAACTACTCCTCTCATGCTGTCCATTGACATTTAGTGCGGGTCTGATGATGGTGTGGTTAAAACATTGTTGTGTAAGTGTTAAGCATGACTGTTAATGTTGTTAACAGCAGCTCTTCACTGGTCTTAGAACAGTGTGGGAAGGTGGTGAGAAAAATGCCAGTACAGCTGAGGTCACGGGATAGTTCCTATAAGCATTCCTCCATCACATTCACCCTGAAAAACTTGCACTGTTTCTGGGGTTAAAGGAAGATTCCAATCTAGTACCGAATTCTCATTGAAAAAGAAATACTAAATGTATTTATAGTTTTAGCTAAGAAGTATTTGGGCAGTGTTGGAGTTGGTATATGTTAGACCTTTTCCTGCTGTGGTGTGTGACTATAGACTGTGCTCTAAACCAAGATTGTACTAGGGCTGTCTGATTCTCTAAAAGTGTGGTTGCCTCTCACCAGCTGAGCTGTGCTAGCTGACCTTCTGCACACTCATCAGCCACCTGAATTGCTGCTGTTGCTGTAGATTTCGCTGAAGTATTTTACTTCAGGTTTGGTGCAGGCTGTGAGGGTTACTGTGACTGCTGACAGGCAGTAGATCATTAAGCCATGCTAACTCTTTTCCAATCATGTATTTGGATCGTAAGCTGCAGAGTAAGAGTCTGAGAGAGCCTTGGATGCCTGCAGGTACTATGGTGAAAAACCTTCTTGTTAGCCAAATAGAACTGCAAATAGTTTCATGGCTGAAATCCAGAAAAACCCTTTGTCATTGGCCACCCAGTTGCAAACTATGGAACAACTCTGTGCCCGTGAGCACATATCCTGAGAGTCTAAGGCTTCAGCTTGGTATTAGTTGTGTTCCTGCTCCAGCCTGAGACAAATGTGTGCCTACTAACCTGTAGACTTAATTTAACTGGTGTGATTTCCTCTGCATTTTCCAGCAGTGGACAGCCAAAGTGCCCCAGCTAATTATATTATAAATCAGAAGCGGTGGGATGGAAACACTGTAGGAATCTCAACACATGGATGCTCATAAATCCCTGTTTGATAGCAATGGAGGGGGCCAGAAGAGGGGGGACAGAGAAGGCAGTTGTGGTGCTTTTAGGACTTTTCATGTTTATGACAACAGGGCGTCCTTATACTCGCTTACCCATGGTTTGTTTTTTTCTCTCTCTTCCCTCGGCCTCCAAAATTAAACCTGGCTGCACAATGAACATCGTGAGTCTCCTGCTGCTCATGTTCAATTTTCAAACAGTAGGAGGAAAGTGCACAGATAACAAATGCACTCTGCATGCCAAGTCCCTTCCAGTTTTGTCTTCCGTTAGCTGGAACAGCAGCTACATGAATTTGACAGAAGCTTTCCAGGCACAGAATAAGCACACAGTTCAGCTAAGGAGTCCAGGTCCTTGTGGTCTCAGCTTAGGGTGTGCATTCTGCTTATTGCCACTGCAACAGCAAAAGGCAGGTGCTATATGGAACTTTGAGGGCAACCTTACTTAGCCCCCAGTGCCTGGGAGAAAAAAAGAGAGTTTTGGAAACAATGTTTGGAAGTACCTCTCTTTCTCGGTGTCTCTGTGAGCAATCCCTCCGTGGACTTGACTGTTGTAGTGATATTTTTTTAGCAAGAACTTCTTTATTTCACTGCTACAACAGACTCTGGAAAAAACATTTCCTTTTGGAATAGGTGGGAAGACAGAAACCCATAAGGTGTTTTTAAGACAAATTCGAGTTACAGTTAGAAGATCAGAAAGATTTCAATGATCAGGCTTTTTTAAAAATTTATCTTAAAATTAGAATCTGAATTTTCTGTGTGTGCGTATTTTCCATTAATTTTAATGTAAAGATTCAGAGATTCACTTTAAAGCAGCTATTGTGCTTTGCAAACCAAGATGTATTTTCATAGTCCTGTGCCATAAGACAGAGTCTTCCCATTTAGTAGCTAACAATTCTCATTTGTCTAAATGGTTGAGAAACTTGTGTTTTCAGTATTAAAATATTTTAAGACATGTCTTTTCCTGACCCTAAGCCCCTTACAACATGTGAGCACTAAAGAGAAATAGGTATTAATGGAAGAGATAGGGCTCGCCCTAGTTGCATGGTTTCTGTTCCCTCCTGACTGAGGAGGAGGCCACTGCTCACTCTTGCAGCAGTGTAAGCACCAAGGAAAAATAAGCAACACAAAAGGGAAAGCATAGTGATATCCAGGATCTTGCCGTTACCTTCTGTTAATTACAGTCTGAACTCTTGCCAAGTCGTCATGCCATTTCCACTCAGCCTCGGAGCAGAATGCAAACTGCCTATAAAGAATGCCCTTTCTAGTTCATATTCTTAGAACTGCTTAAGAGGAATTACTACTGTGTCATTGGACTTTGCAACAGGCTCCTTAGCGTCCTCCAGTATTAAACTCTTCCTCTTCAGCAGTGGCAATGGTGCCAAGTCTTCAATGTAAAGTTCTTGTCTCTCCCCCTGTAACCTGCTACATCTGGGAATGCTGTGATTTCAGGAAGGAGTTTCACCATGGAACAAGGAAGACAGCGCTCCCATCAGCCTCAGCAGACTGAATTGTGTGGTGGAGGGAGCTTGGTTTGTTCTGCACAGTGGGTGTCCAGTATTGGGATTTAAGGAGTAACAGGATAACTGTGATGTAAACTCCCTGTGAGCCAAATACTCGGATATGGCAAACCCTTTTCACTGAAAGAGGACTTAATTTACGCGATGTGATGGCGATGCACAGTGTATCACGTGGGGTTTACTGAGAAATTAATGTAACACTAGAATCCACTCCCAAGTTCATCTTCTGTAACATGCTGTGTCTCCCACTTGCATTTAGGAGCATTCTGGAAGAGTCTTTCGACTTCAGTTTGATGAGTTCCAGATCGTCAGCAGCTCACATGATGACACCATCCTCATCTGGGATTTTCTGAATGACCCAGCTGCCCAAGCAGAATCCACTCGTTCCCCATCCAGAACATACACCTACATCTCAAGATAAATAACACTACACTGTACCTCACACTCGCACAGGTAAAAAAAAAAAAAAACAAAAAACACGAGGTGCAAAGGTGATATTGGATGTAGCGTGAGCATGCTGCTTGGATAATTAGCTGGGTCTATCACTGTTTCTCGTCTTGATTGGACAGTAATTACAGTGTCCTGTAAAAGGACAGGAATGGTTTTGATAACTTAGGATAGGGACTTTATTTTAGGATTTGCGGCATGTGGCACGTGTGAGTTCCCCTGAAGAACTCCTCTGTCCATCATCATCAATAATTAAATCAGCTATCACTGCTGTCCAAAAGGAAGAAAGATTTCTGCAGAGTGAGTAGAGCAGCTGCTGCCTAACAAGGGGATGCAGATGGTGTGACCCTGGGCAGTTGTCACCAGACGGGAGGGTTTTGCCAAGAAGCGTCAGCTTTGTTTGCTCCCTCTGAAGTGGTGACCATTCTTCTCACTCTTCAGCAAGCTGATTCAAGAGAACGGTTTGGCTCGGGGAGGGGACACTGAGGCACAAGCCCAGGCAAGTTTAATCGAGATGCATCAATGTGCAAAATCATTTACTGATAGGGCCTAGCCCTCGTTCTCTGTAACATAGCACGGGTGTTAAATTGTTCATATCAGAGCTTGCCTGGTTTGCACGTCACCTTACCCTTTTGTCTTGGCCAGCACAGTGTGGGGAGGACATAATGTTTCACATGTTTGAGTCAGTTGTAGAGTGGATTTGATGTATATGAGTGGCGTGGCATGATTGCCCACTTTGGTGGGTACATGCATAATTATTGTTAATAGCTTGAGAAAAATGGCAGAAGAGCTGACAGGCTTCTGCAAGTAAGTGTCCACAGTGACATTTTCCCATGAAAATACTCCGTCATGGGGCACATCCTGTATCAAATCTGTTTGATTGGTAAATATACAGTGATGCTCTAGAGCTGTCAGATCAGCCATCTTGATTTTCTCAAACACTCTGGTCAATCAGATGTTCTTTTAAATCATTAAAAGGTTTAGTACAAATGGGGTTTGTTTGTTTTGTTCTGTTTTTTGTTCCCAGGACTCATTTAAGCTGCAGTATTTAAATTATCTGCCAATGCCAGGACAAAAGAACTATCCACGTAACCAATACTTGCTGAAGAGTCTCTCAGACTTGTTTCTGGAACAAAGTTGGCATGCGGTTGATCTCAGACAGGGTCTACTCAGCGCGGCTGACTGCTAAAGTGCTGCTATATCAGAAGATGACTTTTATCTTTCATGAACAGTTAACATTTTTAAACCTTCCCATCCCTTTCCTCCCTCGTCCCCCTCTTCCTGTTCACTCCTCTTCCCTTTACCCTGTTTGGTTCCCCTCCAAACCCAGTCACAGATGTCCTATGAATATATTTAAGATGTTGCCAGAATGTGTTGCTTTGCTGTTAAGCAGAAGACACGTAGCCACAGTGCATCCTGCTGAGAGAGTCACTGAAGTGAGTGGGTGGGAGGCTGCTACTCTCAGACTGAAATCAATATCCATTGCTAGGCCTTCAAAAAAGCATTCAGCTCTGAAGAGTAACAGAAACACTTAAAATAGCCAGACCAGCCCCCTCCCACCCCGACTTCCCTGAGGCTTTTGGCTGTTCTGACTGCAGACCTATTTTTTGTGGAGAGGGGACCCTTGAAATTTGACTATTATGAGCAAAATCCATCTCTTTCCTCTCCTGCCTGCTCTGCTAACCCTTTGGAAGCTGGATGTGTATTGTACTCTTCCTTAACATCTGCTTGGCTGGGGAATGCTAGTCAATGAAAAGTTAAAACTCTCTTCTGCCAAAGTCCCAAGCATGATAGACTGGGGCTGAGATCCTGTCCACCCCCACCCTGGGTGAAATGTTGGCCCAGGGCGCTATTTCACTGGCAAAGGGATTGTCTGTACCATCTTCCTCCTGCTGTCCTCCCTGAAGACAGTGTGTTGCTGGTGGCTTACGAATCATTCTGTAAATTGGAGGAAGTTTGAAGCTGGGGTGAGGAGGAAAACTGAACATTGATCCTTCCTTTCCATTCTTTCTCCCCTCAGAGAGGCTGTAGCTGGGTGCTGAAAGAGGGAGCTGCTAAAAACCTTGTGGAGCTTTGGAGATTGAGCCACCCTCGAATGGAGACACTACACAAACACTCTTGACTGTGACAGTAATATTTCGCTCACATGAACACCAGTGGGGCACAGTTCCCCGGTGATGGCAGATGTGTGAAATGAGTATGGCCATGAGTACCATCAGTACAGTTAGCAGTGGCTCCAGGCCAGTTGTGCAGCATTTCTGAGGCTGGCCTTGCTAGAAAGCCTTCAGAGGGAGAGCCTTTGGTGTGCTTCTCTAACCTACGTGCATGCTGCATCACGGTTTAGGGATACAGGCTGCTGAGTCCCTTTGCTGATAGCTGAGCTGGATCTCTGCTTTCTAGCTGAGGCTTTTGCGAATTGCCGTTGTTTAGAAAATAAAAATAGCCCTGAAGAGGAGGGACATGAGAGACAATTTTGCATGTCTCTGAACTAGACAGAGAGGTGTGGGAGAAAAATGTGCTTTTCACAGAGCTGGAAGGAATTGCAGCAGGCCTGCATTCAGATCAGGAAAGACGGTGGAAATCAGTCCCTGGCCATTCCACATTTGGGCCCAGATCTTCCACTGTAGGTCTTGAATAACCCCGGCTGCCTTAGTGGGGAGTTGCTCCAGTGCCACAGTAGGAAATTGGGGCGCTTTGTCTCTGGGCTGGAGGGGTTTTAAACAGGCTTTGTTAACACCCTCTAAACTTGGAACTTGGCAGATGGGAATTTTTTTTAAGCTATTCTCATCAACTTCACTTTGCTGGGGAAGCAGTTGCTTTGTTTCTAATTGCTTGGGATGCGCTTTTTCCACCAATGAAATTTTGCAAGGAGCTGGGCCAAGAGTCCCCAAAGAGCAGTCCAGAGGGTTTAATTCATTTCGGTGACAGCTAAGACAGACAAGAAGGCAGTGGAGTTGTAGAGGAAGGGAAAGCTGGTGCTTGGGGAGTACCTAGTGCAGTTCCTGCAGCACATGGGCCGCAGTGTTGAGCACTCAGCTCCCTGTATTTTCCTTGAGCCTAGAGACTACATCAGTTCTAAGGAGCGTCTCAGAGTGTGCGGTGATGCTCCTGTTTTCTGTTTGAACTATTACTGTGAAAGAGTCAACAGGTTAACAAGTTGTCTCTGTTCAGATAACACTAACAGCATGACTTGCCTCTACAGAGTCATAAAAGTTCTGAGTCACAATGATAAGTTCATCCACAACTAATTTTGGCACTACTTTTAAGTCTAGGAAGGCTGTTTTGTGTTTTGGGCAGCTCTACGTATCAGGCATACGGCAGTCCCGAAGCCAAAGTGGCAAGGGAGCGGAGAGAATCAAAGTTTACATCCCAGTCTTTGCTGAGTTGAAGTTCTGAGTCTTATTTTTAGTGTTATTTGAACACCATTCCTCTAAGTTCAGTAATTACAAGATCTGCAGCATGGCTGCTTATCAGCAGGGGTTTATATGACCTTGGCTGCAGATTTAATAGTTATTTTCTTCAGTTTGCTCATGCTCTGTCTTTTACATGTAGGTTATTGTAGAAAACAATGATCAGTTGCTCTAGCCTCTGAAGGCTGAAGAACTTCCTTATGTTTTAGTTGCATCTTTGTGGACAATACTTGCAAGGATGTATTTTATTTTGCTGGTTGAGAGTATTTGAGAGAACTGGAAGACTGGCTGGCCAAACATAGAGACAACACCATTGCAGATTGTCCTTGGTTGTCATAGCCCTGCTGCTCCATACTGCTACTCTGTAACTTCTAGGCACTGATGGGTCTTCAAGTGGTACCATAGTTTGAACTCTGCTGTATAGAGCTGTTAAGGTACAACTAGAGAGCAACAGCTGAAATCCGTTTTCAGCACATGACAAGAACGGTGTCTTACCATCAAGAAGGGAGTGTGTCTGGGTACTTCATACAGAACTGCAGAAGGACGAGGATTCCTCTCCCACTCCCCGAGCTGTACAAATTTTCAGATAGCTAAGAAGGAAACTGAAGTTAACTGATCTAACTTGAACTTGAAACTGCCACAGCCTGACATTTGGTGGTGTCTGTTGTGCACCCAGGGAGGAGCAATCTGGTGAGTAGATCTCCCAATGTCAGAAGAAAGTGGCTTTTTCAGACTTCGCCCCCTTAGGGTATGTGTGCGTGTGTGTGTGAGTGTGCAAGAGTGCATGTGAGAGAGAGGTTTCAGCATGAACTGGATGGATAATCCCTCAGCCAGGTTGGAGTAATTGCAGAGTTTATGATGAAAAAGAACTAAAACGTGTCTGCTGAAAGGAGATAAAAAAGGGCTGGGAGTGTCTGTGGGCTTTAAGTGTTGCACATCGCTTTGAAACAAAATGAAATACCTCTGCTGCATAGAGATCAGCACTTCTCCCGCGAGTAGGAAGCTCACACTAGCCTTCCCGCTTGGACTATGGGATGGAAGTACTGGAGGTGTGGGGCATTCAGAGCAGGACAATCCGTTATGGCCATGCTGTCTCCTGCTTGTGACTCCTTTGCAATAGGGCACAGTTTTGCTGCAAATATTTCTCATCCTCAGAGAAATACAGCTTGCTTTAAAATATGCAAATAGAAAATAGCATGAAGGAATTTGCAGCGAGAAAACTTCTGCAGCTGTCTCCTCTGCAGCAGCTCCCTCTGCTCCCCATTAACATTCAGGGACAGACACATCCACTGTTGGAATGGAAGGATTCAGGTGACAAGTTGAGAAGTCCATGATCATCAGAAACATTGACGTGCTTTACGCTTGTTTCTAAACTGGAAGCTGACTTGGACCACCATGCTCTACCTACCTGCCTCCTGCTCCAAAGGATCCTTTTTTCTTAATTTTTTTTGAACACTGAAAAAGCTGGAGAGTATCATGTACGTTTCTTCACTCCCAGGTATGTGTTTTCTGCCCCTGCCACATGTTCCATTCTCAGTCTGAGCAGAGCTCTCCAGGCTTGGTTCTGAGTTTTTTGGCATCCCAGCTCCAATGGGAAGCACATCTCCAGATTGGGCT